CACACACACACACACACACACACACACAAGTAAATAACCTAGTGGTACTGATGTTCCAGCATTTGCCAGATTAGTGGGGAAAAAAGTCCTTTTTATGCCATCATCGTCGTTATCATCATTATCAATACCTCCATCTTCCTGTCATGAAGCTATTGGACCAATAAATAACCAAGCGATCACAACACACTGGCTATTAATTCAACACTTGATTAACATTTGGTTGTAAAATGGTTTTGATCAGACAGCCACCCAACCTCCAATGGTGAGCCTATTTATAGGATCCACTAAATGTGTGCAATGCTAGCTTCCTTATTCCAAGTCACTGTGGTGGACCTGTGATGTGTTGTACAGATGTGAGACTAGCCAATGATCATCCAGTGAACATTTATCCCAAAAACAGAAGTATTTCCAGTAAAAGAATGCATCTGGCACGGATAAAATTGCCTTCTGTTGTGTGCTACATGTGAGAACAGGCAACTTTAGACAATATCTCGACCTGATTCTCCAAACATTGTCCATAGTTCTTGTGTAGAAATGGCTTCTGTTTGCCATTTCGATCTAAACCTAATGAATCGGTTTAGAGAAGGGCAAGTAACATTATTGTGTTACAAATCGATGGTAAATGTGTAAAGAGTCAGACGTGAGACTGTAGTTCCTGGTGTGGCCGTGGCTCTGAAACCAAGTCCGTCCCCATGCCCAACTTAAAAGTAGAAATGAACATGTGTACAGCCTGGCACAATTGTTTTTGTCTTTAAAGCAGTGGCATAGGGTCAGTTTATAGAAAGGCAAGCAGGAACTCATTTGAAACTTCTCAGCTTGCCTGTTTTATGAAAGTAGAGATGTATACCGCTCCATTATCCAGACTTTCCTCACTAACATGCCTAAGAGGTTATTAAAAAACGCTTTCAGACTACGCTCTAATAGCTCTACATCACACATTGCCAAGGTGGTTATTAAAAGAAAATGTGTATGTTAGGATGACGGAGGGCTTGTTTACTTGTTAATGAAAGCTTTATTTCCACACAACACAGCTCGTAAATAATCTCAGTGAAAACAGAGATTGTCTCTGCAGCTTGTCTTGAATGATGAACATTATAAGTTTAGTCAAGCCTGCTTCCAGAGGAAATAGCCAACGATGGCAACAAGATGGGAAACTTCTCTCGCAGGCAGTGAGAGAAGCTCATGAGACACATGGCTGTTTGAGATGCAAGGAGAGAGATTACTTCATGTTTGTTTTAATTGATGTCTGTATTTAGATTACACTGGGCAAGCAGTGCTGTTTGCCTAGCTTGCCATAATAGAACAGCACTGCTCTAAGAACTGATGCTCTCTTTCACAACAACTCGAGTTGGTGGATTTTTTTTTTAACTTACCCGCTGGGTTTTGTGAAGGTTTAACTTTAGGGCCGGGGTCACTTTGACAGACAATAGTGCCAAGACAGGCAACTGTAGCCAGCAGTGTGTCCCTGTACTGGACTTCTCTACAGTCCACATTTGTAGTATTGGTGCCATTTAATGAAATGATCTGTCAAATAATAAGCCTGCTGTGTGGTAGCACATCCAAGATGTCTTAAATAAAGATTATTGTTTTGTTATTTAGCATGAA